TAAAAGAACCCATACTGGAGAAAAGTCCTATCAATGCTCACAGTGTGACAAACAGTTTAGTAAGCATGCCAACCTGGTGAAACACAAGAGGACACACACAGGAGAGAAACCATATGAGTGTCCCGATTGTGGGAAAAATTTCCGTCACAACTCTAACCTGGTGATACACCAGAGGACTCACACTGGGGAGAAACCATATGAGTGTCCAGACTGTGGGAAAAGTTTCAGTCGGAACTCTAACCTGGTGATACACCAGAGGACTCACACTGGGGAGAAACCGTATGAGTGTTCAGATTGTGGGAAAAGTTTTAATAATAATTCTAACCTTGTGAAACATCAGAGGACTCATACAGGAGAGAAACCATATGTGTGTTCAGTTTGTGGCAAATGTTTCAGTCAGAACTCTTACCTGGTGATACACCAGAGAAGTCACACAGGAGAGAAACCATATGAGTGTTTGGATTGTGGAAAAAGTTTTAATAACAATTCTAACCTTTTGAAACACCAGAGGACTCACACAGGAGAGAAACCATATGAGTGTCCAGATTGTGGCAAAAGTTTCCAGCAGAATTCTAACCTTGTAAAACACCAGAGGATTCACACAGGAGAGAAACCATATGAGTGTTCAGATTGTGGGAAATGTTTCAGTCAAAACTATTACCTGGTGATACACCAGAGGACTCACACAGGGGAGAAACCATATGAGTGTTCTGATTGTGGGAAAAGTTTCAATCATAATTGTAACCTTGTGCAACACCAAAATACTCACACAGGAGAGAAACCATATGAATGCCCAGTTTGTGGGAAAAGTTTCAATAATAATTCTAGCCTTGTGAAACACCAGAGGACGCATACAGGAGAGAAACCATTTGAGTGTCTATACTGTGGAAAAAGTTTCCAGCAGAATTCCAATCTGATCATACACCAGAGGACTCACACCGGAGAGAAACCATATGAGTGTCCACAATGTGGGAAAGCTTTCAGTTGGAATTCTGACCTGGTGATACACCAGAGGATTCACACCGGGGAGAAACCATATGAGTGTCCAGATTGTGGGAAAAGTTTCAATAATAATTCTAACCTTGTGAAACACCAGAGAACTCATACAGGAAAGAAACCATATGAATGTTCAGTTTGTGGGAGAAGTTTCAATCATAATTGTAACCTTGTGCAACACCAAAGAACTCACACAGGAGAGAAACCATATGAGTGTCTATACTGTGGGAAAAGTTTCAGTCAGAATTCTTCCCTGGTGATCCACCATAGGATACACACGGGGGAGAAACCATATGAGTGTCTGGATTGTGGGAAAAGTTTCAGTCAGAATTCCAAACTCGTCATACACCAGAGGACTCACACAAAACAGAAGCTGTATGAGTGTCCAGACTGTGGAAAATGTTTTAGTCGTAATTCTGCCCTAGTGATGCACATGAGGACTCACACAGGAGAGAAACCCTATGAGTGTCCAAATTGTGGGAAAGTTTTTAGTTGCAATTCTGATCTGGTGAGACACCAGAGGATTCACATAGGATGAGTGCTTAGATTGTGGGAAAAGTTTTAGTTGGAATTCCAACCTGGTGGAATAATAGGGAACTGACACAGAAGAGGAGCCCTTTGAATGTCCCAATTGTCAGAAAGCTTTCACAAATAGGTCTAATCTAATAAATCATGTCAGTTTACACACAGATCAGAAGCCATTTAGATGCCCAAACTGTGGTCAGTGTTTCAATGACTACTATTGTTAAAGAGAAGAGGACTCATACAGGAGAAAGGCCATCAGTTTTCTGGTTGGAAGGAAAGCTTGATGGGATCAAAGATAACTTTCAAGAGTTCACAAGGATATACAATGCTTGTTTTCAGCTTCCTAGATTATTTTCAGCCAGTTAGCTACATTTATTTAGACACTAGAGACTCAACCAGAAGAAATTCTCAGACACAAGAGGATTTGCTTTTAAAAATCAGTGAATCAGTAAATGAGAATTAGGATTTCAACAAGAATTTTCTGAAACTATAGTAAGAAACTAAATATAACTCTGTATAATAAGAATATTCCTAGGGCATAAAAACCATTCTTATTGTATCTGATTTGACTTATTACAGAAAGATAGGAGTCCATGGGGGCATTGGTTAGAATGTACTATTGCAAAGGCAGTAACCTTTCCAAGATACTGGTAGTCTGTCAACTAAAAAATACTTCTTTGGTCTCTAGTTGCCAGCAGAAAGGGAGTGGGGGAAAGCAGTGGATTCCTTAAATGCTTCAGATAATTGCCTTGGCAGCCAAAGCTGTTGACGCGTAAAATTATTACTGGAGAGCATGATGATTTTTTGCTGTGGATGTGTCTCATTGGAGAATATATATCCAGGGGGTAGGGGGAAGACCAGGGTCAAGGGTGACATTAATGATGTGTCAGAGTCTGCTGCAACCAGGGAACACCAACATATTAACTCCTAATAAATCAATCTTTTTTTACTCTGAGAGATGTGTCTAGAAGCTTATGATTTGAATGTGATTGCACGTTGGAGCCTTGACAGCGTCCTTGAGTTACAACATTCAGTGCCCATTCAAAGTTACGTCACTGAAAAAAGTGACATTTGACCCTTTTCCATACTTATGACCATGGCATCATCAACAGAAATTTTGGGCTCCATTGGGGTCGTAAGTTGAGGACGACCTATATTGCGGTTATTTTATTCCAGATTCCTCCATGCAGCAGAGCTCAGAGCCAGTAGTTGAAATGGACACTATCACCATCCATACGTTATTAGATCTGCATTGAAAAAAAGCAGTTTAGGGTGTCCCTCTTTAAAGGTCAGCCTGGTGATTAGCGGTCCATGTGCTTTGGTGGGATATTCTTTTTTTGCCTTTTTATTTCACTTGATGTACTCGACATTCCTTTCTGGACATACTAAGTTGCCATGCAGAGTCATTCCTCCCTGCCTTACGTCTTTCCCTCAATATTTATCAGTTTCCTATTTCTGGATATTGCTTGCTCTCATGTCTCATTCTTTTCAATATGGACAGTGTCATTTCATTAACTTAAACATCAAGATGCAGTCATGACTTTTCTGTTAGGCAATAGAGATACCTAAGCCCTACTCAGCGTCATGAGTTGCTTGATCTTATCCCGTTATTGAACATCTCTCCATATTTGTATGGTTAAAATACATCAATTCAGAATATACTTTGCATTCTATGTCCCAAAGGTGCTTTTTCAGGAGGCAACTAGACTTTCCTGTTTGTTTTTTGAAGATATTTTCACGGGTACTTACATGTATGGCATTCAGCTTTGTTTGGGTATTTTCCCACGTCGTTGTAGTTGTGCTTTTAAAGTTGTAGCAACATTTTGGCGGAATCTCATCTGCCATCATCAGGCTTCTGTATAGAGATGAACACTATACAGAAGCCTGATAATGGCAGATGAGATTCCGCCGAAATGTTGCTACGACTTTAAAAGCACAACTACAATGACATGGGAAAATACCCAAACAAAGCTGAATACAATATATATATATTGAACCTCAGAAAACATATATATGTGTATATATATATGAATGAAACAGCTGTGAAAGTCTGACTCACAGATGAACACAGTACAGAAGCCTGATGATGGCAGATGAGATTCCGCTGAAACGTTGTTACAACTTTAAAAGCACAAGTATAATGACATGGGAAAATACCCAAACAAAGCTGAATACCATAGATATAAGTACCCGCAAAAACTTAAGAAAACACACACACACACACATCCTTCCATTCCGCACTATTCTGTCAGAGCTGAAGAAGTTTCTTGAATGAGAAGTGAAACGTCTGCCCCCAAAAACCCAAGAAAGTCCAGTTGCCTCCTGAAAAAACCACCTTTGGGACAACCATGACCTGGGTGACTGAGACTCTACAGACTCTGCGTTCTATGTCCCCCTTTTTGATTAAAAGAAAAGCTTTTCCCCTGTAAGTCGAGAGGAAAAATTAAAATTAAAATTGGGGAAAGTAAAAGCTGCTGATAAAATAGGGATCACTGTATGGGTAAAGAAAAACAATAGGGATTTAAAACATAATTATTGTTAACTAATAAGGTATTTGTTACCTGACCCTGACACTCCCTTCAATCCATCTGCAGTTTAAATCCTACTTTATTTGTTTTTATCCTTCCTTTATTATTTCTCTTTGAGCTTAACCCCACTACAATCAACCTCAAAACTTATATTTTTTTATTATAAATGACATTTCTATAGTTCCCCCCCCCGCAAAAAAAAGGAATGATGAGCGATGTATAACAATCAGAATGAAAACCATAACCATATAAATGACATATGTAAAAATGTAAAAATCTATACTAAGAAATAAGTAATATAAAAACAAGTATACAATCCCACCTAGGCAATAAAATGGATGCAAATGGCCACCTCAGCAATGGAACCACCTGAGCATATCTCAGATTGCCTCAGACTTCCAGTATGTATGTATGTATGTATGTATGTATGTATGTATGTATGTATGTA